GAAGGTAAGAAATGAAGTTGAAACCTGGGGTGTAGCTCACTGGGAGACTGCTTACCTCAGATGTGCAAGACCCTGATTTGGACCCATGGTGTGTACACGCACACACACACACACACACACAAAAAAAAAAAAAAAAAAAAAAAAAAAAAAAAAAAAAAAAAAAAAAAACAGGGAAAGAAAGAAATAAAAAGAAATAAGAAAAAGGAAAGGAAGCTAAGAAGGGAATCACAAAATCAGTGTTGGATTCTTCTCAATGGTCCCATTTGCTTCCAGATTCTGAGTCAAACATGGCCAAACACCATAGTATATATTGAATGGTTTAATGGGATGTCACTGTCCCTATGTCACCTGAAGCACTGCTGCCATGCACTCTGGTATCAAAGAGGAGAAAGATCTGTGTCTAATTGTTTCTCATAGGTAGACTCCTCTGTGTGTGTGTGTGTGTGTGTGTGTGTGTGTGTGTGTGTGTGTTGAAGTAAAAGGGAAACTATCTAATGGGAGGAAAGAAACAAGCTGGAGAGGAAAGGATGAAAGTGTAATGGGGGAACAAATAGGAACTAAGTATAATGTTTTATATGTCTAAAAATGTTACAATGAAGTCCAATATTTTGTATATTTATTAAAGTAATAGGAAAATTTAACTTTGAAAAGTAGAAGAGCCATGGCCAATCCCCCCACCATGTGCACCCTAAAAAAAATCCAACTAGTATTTACAGGCAAGATGGTGGCACCCTGTGTTCCCATGTTCCCAGCACTGGGGAGGTAGAGGCAGGCATTCAAGATCATTCACCTACGTAGTGAGTTTGAAGCCAGACCAGGCTACATGACTACATGAGACCTTGCTTCAAAGGAGGAGTGGGGGAGGAAGTAAATAAATTCTCTTCACCATTTCTAAAGAAATGGCCAGCAGCCTTGGGTGGCTCTGGTTGGGTGTAGCTGGTTCTTTAAGCAACCACAGCATGTGGTTTCTTTGTTTTATATTTATTGTAATTTGCCTCCTATGTGCAATGCCCCCCTTTAAGAGCATCCTCCATCCCTGCTTGAACCTTTAGCAGGATACAGACTTCTCTCTGGTGAGAGGCAAACCTCTGAAGCCCCAAATGTCATCTCTCCGAGAAACTAAGCTTGTGACCTGAAGCCCTAGGGAGTGTGTCAGTCTTAACGTTGGTGCAAAGCTGATGCCAACCTCTGCTCAGATTCATGGCTGCCAGATTCAGGCCTGTGGAAAAATTCTTATACTGAGGTTACCTGAATCCTTGTTCTCTTTCCTTTCAACTCTTGGATCTCTGCTTAGGCTTGTGGTGATATAATATTATAATAAATAATTAATAATATTTAAATATATGTATATAATATATTCATATGATATTTAAATATTATTAACTGTTACAATAATTTAAAATATGTTAACTATATAATAATTAAGAATAAGAGATTTTTTTTTTGCAGCAAGGTCTCTGAACTCACTGACTTTTCCTGTGTCCCCTCTCTCGAATTCCTTTTCTCTAATTATTATTATTACAGATATGTGTGTATATACATATATATACATATATATATATATATATATATATGTATATATATATATATATACAGCTTGATGAGTTGATTACACATTATTAGCCAATGAACCATCTCTCTAACCCCTATTAATTAATTTTTAATCAAAATTTTGAAAGCATTTTCATGAATGGGGCATATCTCAGGGATGGGGTTTTCTGAGCATACAAAGTAGGCTTCCCTCCCAGTTCCGGGAGAAGAAGAAGAAGAAGAAGAAGAAGAAGAAGAAGAAGAAGAAGAAGAAGAAGAAGAAGAAGAAGAAGAAGAAGAAGAAAAGAGAGAGAGAAGAAAAAAGAGAACAAGCAATTTCTAAGCTCATCTTTCTTACTAGTCTGCTTTTTTTTTTCTCTTGAAGAACTACTTAGGATTAAATCGAAAGGGCTTTCTACTTTCCATGTCTCTAAGGCAAGTGACAACTTGTCTGAGGTATTAGAAATATTGAGGTGACTCCAGAGCTCTCCCTGGGAATCGGGATCTTAAATCTGAGAGGTGTTGACAAAGCCTCATAGGAAACTCGGCCTGAGGTTAATGGAAGTAGGTATTTAAAAATCAGCCTGCTCCATGCAGCACCTTCTGTCTGTGAGCCAAACAAGCACCAAGCTCGGAAAACCCCCTGAATGACCAATTAAATTCACTTTTAATGAGCAAACAAAACACATGTAGAATGAAAGATAATTTAAAAATTAGTTTAAAAAAAAAAAAAGATGACAGCAGAAAAAAAAGAAAGAAAAGCTGGTGAGATTTGAATGCTAACAGTGTCACGTATGTAAAGGCAAGTTCAGATTTCCTGACAGTCAGTGCATTTGTTTTACACTTGGCTGTGAGAAGGGCTCAATGTGAATTGAACATGTCAGCTCCAGCTGCTGTAACAAAACGTACCTAGACTAATCAGGCAATTTCTCCCTCACTGCTTCTTGACTGCGTGGCATGCTGTCAGAGGCAGTATTCAAACGCACACAGTTCGGATCCCCCGCCCCCAGCAAGCTCTACTTATTGCACACTGGACTACAAAAGCATCCCACACAGCAGACATTGATTTCATACCATCCTAGAGGTTAGCTGTCCAAGACCAAGGCTCGTCAGGGTCAGCTCTTGGTGTTGGCTTTCTTCCTAGAAAGCACATAAGTACCGCCTTGCTGTGTCTGAAAGAGAGAAAGGCTGGGGGGGAAACACTGGGTATCTCTTTTTTTATTTTTAAGGGCACTAATCTTATGAGCTGAGGGGGCCATCCCTGTGACTTCGTCGCTTCCATAAAGTCCCTCTCCGCAGTAACGTTGGAGTTAGGACTTCCATACATGAGTTCTGAGGGGTCTGTCACTCGGTCTTTAGCGTGATGGCTTTACTGAGGCACCAGGACCAACTTAACTTTCTGGAAAAAGGGAAATGGAGAAGAGCCTTGTTGTTCCCATCATCAGAGGTTTAGTCACCTTCAAATCAAGAGCCTGTCAGTCCAGACAAGTCATCGGATGGAGGAGGCCCAGAGTTACTTGCAGTGCCCCAACTCATGTGGTTGCTCCACAGCCAGCTTCCCAAATGCTGTGTTCCCTCTCAGTATCTCAGACAGCACCAGGAAATTAAGATAGCTGAGGCAGGCGGGCAGAACCAGAAATGATGTATGGAGCCGAGGGGGAGGGGGCCGGGCACAGTTGCCAAGGTAAGAAAGATTGGGTCAGAGGAAAGAGTGACTTCAGCTGGGAGAGGTAATGGAGACTGTGCAGCCACACCACAGTGAGCACAATACCGACGGTTCAGGAAAGCCACCACAAAGTCGACACCAAAAGCAAAGAGTCAGTATTCAGAGTCCGTCCACACAGTGTTTTTAAGGTGATGGAATCACGCTGGTTGTCGTGGAGGAGTGTGAGGAGCAGATTCCGGCAGGCATGTGGCTGTGACCACATAAGGTAGCAAGAGGGACAGAGCCTGCCATCATTTCAAACAATAGGTAAGGTGCTCCACCCTTAGAGTCCCAGAGCTGGGGAGGCTGTTCCCTGGGGCTTGCGGATGAGCCAGCCCAGCTGGACTGATGAGCGCTAGGCCAAGTGAGAGGTGCTATCTCAAACACAAGGTGGTGGGCAATGGTGGCAGGGTGCTGGAGAGATGCTGGGGAGAGGGGTAAGAGCACCTGCAACTCTAGCAGAGGACCTGGTAACTGGGGTTCAGTCACCAGCACCCTCATGGTGACTCACAATTGTCTTCAGCTCCAGTTCCAGGGCTTCACACCCTCTTCTGACCTCCACAGGCACCAGGCACACACATGGTAGACAGACAGACATGCAGACCAAACACAAACATGGAAAATAAAAAATTAATGTTAAAAACAATTAAAAAAAAATAAAGCCAGAATGGAGACACCTGAGGAAGAACACCCAAGGTTAACCTCTGGTCTCCACATATGTGCACACCCAGAAAATTTAAAATGGGTTGAGATGGCTCAGCAGGTAGAGACACTCCTCCCAAAGCCTGATGACCTGAGACAGATAACCAGGAATCACACAGTGGAAGGAGAAAATAAACTCACACACATAAATAAATGAGAGAATAAACTCACACACATAAATAACTAAATGAATAAGTGCAATAACAATTTTAAAAAACAAAAGTAAATGGAGATTAAATGCCATGCAAATACAAAAAATAAAAGTAAACATTTATGCAGAATTATGAACAGCAGAAAAAAAGTGTGTCGAGAGAATAGGCAATAAACTGGCTGAATAGATCAGAAATTAAGGCAATTAGGGATAAAAACAGAGAAGGACTTCAGGCAAAAAGGTTTTTAAAACCTTTGGGTTTGTTATTTTTAAAAATTCCCTGCTTTTCCTCTTACACACATTGCAGCAATTGGCCTGATAAAAATTAGTTTCCATTATGCAATTTGCTGACAATAAGGCTGATTTGCAGATTATCTTTCCTCCTGGATCGTTTTAACAGCCATCACAGCTTCAATAGCCATCACAGCTTTAACAGCCATCACAGCCTCAGGACCCCTCTTCTGCAAAAAACCAAAAGAAAATGCTATTTCTCAGAAATTCCCTCCAAGGCTTTTTCCATAATGTAAAACCAAGAAGTCCTGAGTTGTGCCCCCCCCCCCGCCCCCCGAAAGGCTGACTGGGCAGTTTGGCTGTATGATACTTGTCACCACAGTGCTAACAGACTCTGTCCCTTGAGCTCTCCTAGGACAGGGACGGGGGCGCACATGGCTCCACTGGATAACCCTGTCAGGCGAGCCTGTGCTCCAACAAGAGTCACAGCTGGGGTGCTGCTCTCCACTGCCTAGTGCCAAAATAAAAAAAGCAAGCACCGTTTACTCCCTCATTTGTTTATCCAGGATGTCCGGTCCCTTTGTTTGAAAATGATGGGAAAGTAATGCTCTGAAACCGAAATCCATCTCCCTTCTCACAGGACTGTTTTTCTGAGGAGGGACTCAGGAGAGAGGGGGAGATCCTGGTACAACCTGTCACAGCTGCTGGTGGCTACAAATCGCTTCCTACCCAGGCTGTCAAATAAATTTAAACAAACTGCAACTATATCCCAGCTTTTTATGTAAGAGTAAGCTGTTTCCTGTAAATATAGAAAGTTCTTACTGGCAGAAGCAATACTTGCCTCATGTCCTTGGTGTGCCTTTCCTGCCGCAGAGCCCTTGACCTTGGCATCCTCAGAACCTGTCACCCTCAAGCCATTAAGTGACTCTGTTTGTTCCTGGAAGAAAAGATAAGGACAGAAAGAATATTGAACTTTAGAGCTGGAGACCAGATTATCTTCTCATTATCCATTTTACTTTTAAAGAGACGTTGATTTTATTTCACAGGTGCCTAAGCCAAGCTCGGATGGCTCTTTGTTAAGATTTTCTAGGTCCAAATGTCACATGTTTGCTAAGAAAATCTAATGGAAAACTGAGCGTGGCTTGCAGTTAGCCCAGGGCAGTGACTTCTAACTTAATTCCATGAAACATTTTATTATACAACGTCAGCTAGATTTGGGCCCATTCTTAAAACACTTAGGACTGGAGAATTGGCTCAGCATTTAAGAACACTTGCTGCTTTTCCAGAAAGCCAGAGTTCAGCTCCCAGCACCCATGCTGGGCAGCTCACAAGTTCTAGTACCTCCAGCTCAAGGAGATCTAGTGCCCTCTTCTGGCCTCCACAAGTACCTGCACTCATGCACACACACATACAGACACACACATATATAAAAATAAAATCTTTTTATACAAACCAAAAAAAAAAAGAAAGAAAACACTGTCGTTTTTCCATGCATTGATTCACTGGTTGTTGAGTCCACAGGGAAAAGAATCTTACTGCGAACTTGGCACCTTTTCTATGTGCCAAAAACAAGAGGCTGAGAGAAGGCAAGGACAGAGGACATGCTGTCTGCAGACAACCTGGCAAGAGAGCATCTTCAGTTAGCTAACATTTACCCAGCAGATTCTTCTTACCAGGGAAGGTGCTAGAGTCTGTGGGTAACTGAAGCACAAATGAGCTGCAGCCCATCCTCCTTGGAAAACAAACACCAAGTGAAAACTGTTCACTGGAAAATATTCCATGGAGTACAGCAGTGGCACTGCCTGCCATTGGGGTGAGAGGGAAGAGGATGCCATGATGCCGCTCCTGCTGGCTGGAGTCATGAGCTCAAGGAAGTGACAGAGCTGCTCTGAGTCTCCGTGTCCTCAGCCAACAAATAGGACAGTTCGGCTTTCTTTTAAAAATTATTTTGTTCATCACTATTGCGTCTATGTGCACAATGTGTATTCCTGAGAGTGTGTGAGCATGTGTGTGTGTGTGTGTGTGTGTGTGTGTGTTAATGCACAGATGTGTAGGTCTGAGGACAACTTTGAGAATCAGTTCGCTCCTTCCACTGTTGCTTCCAGGGATCAAACTCAAGTCATCAGGGTTGCAGGGAAAGTGTTTTTGCTTGCTCAGCCATCTCACTGGCCCAAGTTCTTGTTTTTCAAATATATATATATATATATGAAAATATATATATAATTAGGATGAACTTACAAACCTAGCACTTAAACGCAAGCATTGACTTTGGAAGAGCCACTGTCCAGCGTGTGGCCTGCAGGTAACAGTAGTGAGCTGCAGGCCAGATTCTAAATGCTCTCAATTCTCCCCTTGGAAAAGTAAGGTGATGGGCGATCATTACTTTGATTAGTCTCTCCACATAAATCAACATATCCTGCTGTGCACCATAAATACATACAATTAGAAAAACCAGACGAGATCATGCAGACCTGTTTGAGACAGTTAACCCTGACTGAGCATGACTCTGAAAGCACGTTGGTTGGAATGACTGGTGTAGCCAATCAGATGGCCTTGAAAAGGGGGGATGAGCTCTGTTATAGTGGAGGCAATCGAGGAAGAGAGGGCTCTAGCCGAGCCCTAATGACTGGGGCAGAATGTAAAGACTAATGACTGTGAGAAGAACACTGAGTAGAGGTAGCTAGGGCAAGCCACCTCCTAGAAGCTGCAACGTCATTATGAAGCTGAGGGAGGCAGGTGGTTTATTAATGAGCAGATTTGTCCTGGAAGAAGAAACAGAGTAGCGTCTAGAATGTCAGTAGGAATATAGGAAATCAGAATTTTCTGGGTCCTGGAGGTCACCTTAACCAACCTTCCATGTGACAGACAGAACTGCTTAGTTTGGATTTGAAATATTACCCCCACAGGTCCTCGTGACTGAACCTTTAAGCGGTGGAGCATAGGGCAAGGAAGTTGGGTTGTTGGAGAGATTGTCAGATCCTAACCCTGACTCTCTCTCTCTCTCTCACCCTCTCTCTTTGCTGCCCTGTTGCTTTGAGGTGAGGCCCTGGATCCAGGCTTCGTGCCTAGATGTTCTCTGATTCATCTCAGGTCCAAAATTCATGAAACAAACTGACTATGGGGGTGAAACCTCTGATACCATGTGCCAACATAAACTTTTCTATTTTCAAATTCTATTATGTCCGGCAGTAGAAAAATGGCTGACATAGGAAATAAAGATTCAGAAAACTTACACAAGGCTACAAGAGCCCCTAAGCCAGACAAATAAATTAACCCTTCATTCCATGATGCAAATATTTAGGCATTCTTGAATGATAGCTTCAGGTTACTTCTGCTGCATAGCTCTTTATAAAGCACTTTGGATACACAGGATCTCACTGAGAGTCCTCCATGGCCACCAGGTGGAAATGGTGAGAGTGGCATCGGGACCACACTGAGGACTTATCAATGAATGTGCAGCGGTTTCATCAGCATTATAGTTGAAACTTGTTATTAAGACAGGATCTACAGGATCTCAGCCTGGCTTCAAACTCACTCTAAAGCCAAAGTTAGCCCTTCACTCCTGATCCTCTCAACTCCACCTCACGGGTGTTGGGATTGCAGGTGTGTGCTGCCATGCCTGACTGTTCTTGGAGCTTTTAGAGAGACTCTCATATTTAATTACTTAACTAGTCAATTAACGAGAGAAAGTCTCCAGTCTTTGTCTGCAGTTTTCTGCAGCATGCCTTTGTGATTCAGGGAGAGCAGAGGCTCTGAAGATTTTCAAGTTATAAGATATCATTTAAAGTGATTTTCAGAAGAGCGTGGCTGTTCTTAGAATTAGTGACAACAAAAGTGGGCCTCAAGACCTTGTGGGGGCTGCTTAGAACAATCCCTATGTTTCTCCTCATTTTCTTTCTTAAAGGGCCTTTGTCTCCTTAAAACAGCCTGGCTGTGACAAACATTCTGCCAGTGCTGAAATAAGAAGTAACTTCTTGAGACACCCAGGGAACTTGTTACTTTCTGAGTTAATGTTAGACTCTCCTGCGCCATAGCCCTAGACAGACTAATGTTTAAGAGGCTTCCCGGTGGCTTCTCTGTCTTTCTAGTAACCGTTTTGATTGTTGGGTGCAGTGGCAGGAGAGAGGGTGGAGGAAATGGAAGGTGTGTGAACACTGGCTGAAAGGCTGGAGAGGCAAATATGTAAACAGTACTCACCCACAGGTCTACAGGATCAGAGAGTGACTTTCTGGACCCAGAATCCTGCAGAGCCACCCTTGGATGAGCAGTTAGACACACAACTTAATAACTCAGTCTATCCTACTGAGGGTTTTTTTAACCCTTTTTTGGGGGGTTTATTCAAATAGTGTCTCACTGTAAAGCCCAGGCTAACATTGTCCAGACTGGTCCAGACTGACCTCAAACTCACGATTCTCCTTCCCTGCCCTCTTGAGTACTAGGCTTCCAGACATGCACTGCTGTGTCTGGCTTACAGCAGTTGGGTGTTACAGACCAGAAGTAGCAATGAACAAATGTGGGGCTGAGGGTGTTGCATGTATGCTTACGCAGACATATGCTTGGGTCCACATACATGTGATTGTATGCATGCTTGCATGCCTCTCTCTGAAAGGGTATATATGCATATTAATGTGTATATTACCATTTTATTTAATCCTAAGGACAGCCCTGGGAGACAGGCACTTCGCGTATGTTCTAACTTGTCTTCCGTTGCTCTGATGAACACCATGACCAAAAGCAACTTGGGGAGGAAAGAGCTGATTTCAGCTTAAAGGTTACAGTCCATTGTTGAGGGATGCTGGGACAGGGACTGTCATAAGAACTGAAGCAGAAGCCACGGAGGAATGCTGCTTACTGGCTTGCTCCCTGGCTCATGCTTAACTACCTTTCTTATACAACTCAGAACCATTGGCCCTGGATGACATCATGCACATCAGTCACCAGCCATCAATCTCTCACCGATCTGCCCACAGGCTAGTGCAACAGAGGCAGTTCTCCACTTAAGGTTCCCAGGTGAATCTCTGTTGGGTCATGTTGACAGTTAAAACTAACCCAACGCAGCATACATCAAAGGTTCTGAGACTTAGAGTCTCTCTCTTGTCAGAGACTCCATAAGTAACAAAAAGCAACGCTGATGTCATGCCAGTCCTCTGTAAGTTGCAGGATAGCCTGCCTGGGGCAAAGAGCAAAGAGGTCAAGGCCCAGACTGTGGGAGGGCCAGAGAAGTTCAGAGAGGGCGTCAGCTTAGCTTTCAGTCTCCACAGAGGTCGGTAGAGAAGCCGGTTGCTCAGACCCTAGTAGCCGCACCACCTGGTCTAAGGCCTCCGTGGAGGAGAAGCAAACTATTCTCTTTGTGTCACCTGCAGCTCTTTGTGAGAGAACCTGAAAAGAGGCTGGGAGTTCGAGGAGACATCCGCCAGCACCCTTTATTTCGGGAGATCAACTGGGAAGAGCTCGAGAGGAAAGAGATAGACCCACCCTTCAGGCCAAAAGTGGTAAGGACTCCCCCACTGGACAGTCTGGCTTCGGCCCTTCTGTCACAGGCTGCCACCCTAACCAAGCAACAGCAGTTTCTGAAACCTGCTCCAGCCTCGTCCTCCAGGTGGAACATTTTTCTTCAATCCACGCCATTTGATTGGGGGAGGGGGGTGGGGGAGACTATTCCTGTTGCTTGCCAAATTGAAACTGTCATCAAAATTCACCTATGGGAAAAATACATCACAGAACATTCCCAAGTTGGACACGTGTTTCTGAGTGGGCCCATCAGAGAAGATGGGATTTGCATGCCACACATATGTTCTTAATGGTCACAGTCAGTGTGGCTGGAAACCTGTTCAGTGTAATTCTTTTCTATGAAATTAATTATTCTAATAAAAGAAATGATGACTCAGGATTTGAACCCACTGGGTTGTGCTCATACATAAGGAAATTGGTGGCTAATTTTCTCCCCCCCCCCACTTTTTTTTTCTCTCCTTCCTAAACTGTGACCAAGAAATCACCATGTGACTGTAGCAATTTCGACAAGGAATTCCTAAGTGAGAAGCCCCGGCTGTCATTTGCTGACAGAGCTCTCATCAACAGCATGGACCAGAACATGTTCAGAAACTTTTCCTTTATTAACCCAGGCATGGAGACTCTCATTTGTTCCTGAGCCTCATCCCTCCCCAGACCAGAAGCGATTTGCTCTCTCTCTGGGAACCTGTTTGAGTAACACTTCCGGGGGTCTCCTTTTCACGTTGGAAAAGAAAAGAAACACTCAACAGCAAAGGCAGAGAAGACCTTTGAGCTCCTCGCATGACCTGTAGCAGAAACCAAGTCGACTTCACTAACGACGTCACCCTGTTATATCTTCTGGCGTCTCTCACAGCAGCCCTTGAAGTTAGATCTTACTAACTCTAGTCATTTACTTGAAAGATGACTTGCTGATACTGTGGAAGTTTTGAAATGGAATTCTGTTCCTGCCCTAGACGGAAGTTGCTGGTTGGTGATGAACCAAGGTGCGAACACAACAGATTTCTCCAGATGGGAAATGCGGTGCGTTCAGAAAGCACGCCTCTGAGAGACTGCCTTTTCTCTTATAGACGTGGACCCCACTCAAGCACGGAGAAGGAACCACTAACCCGAGTTGTTCTGTGCATGTCTGTGGAAATGTAAATGGCGGAAGGGAGGGAAAGGGGAAGCCCTGATCAGGCTGTGGTGGGATGCTTTCCAATAAACGTAGCTTGGAACTTGAGATTTACAAATCTGTTCATTCTGGCTAGCCCTGCAATTCACAGGGCAGAGGAAAGTGTCAATGAACAGAGCTCTTGTCAGCAATGGGGAAGGGTAAGTAGGATGCCTGTGTGGGGCGTTGAGCTCAGGCGGAAGTAAAGGACAGCTGACAAGGACAGGGTAGTTTACTGCTGCCGGTCAAGCTTTGCTTTCCCCCTGTTCTCAGCTGATCTCACCGTCAGCATAGTCATTCATTACCATCCTCCCATCAGACAAGAAATGAAGTGCATGATCCTTTCGAGATAAAGAAAACCAATCCCTTGTCATGCTGTTCCTGGTGATTTGATGACAAATAAGTCCCTCTTAAGGCATCCTCTAAGACAAATGACCCATGCATGCTATTTGTAGTAGGCAGTCCCGTTGAACTAGAGAACTAACTGTGCACTTAAAGTATTTGTGCTGTTTGTATATTTTGATGAGATGTTGTGACAATAACAAAGAAGTAAATCTGTAAAATGGAATAAAAGAAGAAGAAAGAAAGATGACTCTTAATAGTTTGATTCTCTACTGGCTCCCTCAAAAACATATTTCCATCATGTTGACCATCAAAATGTAGCCAGATTGAATTTGTTTTAAAAATGAGGAATTAAGAATGTCTCACCTTGCCGGTAAGACATTCAGACATACTTAATTGCTAGTATGTTTCTCTTTCCGTTCCTCCAAAAGATTTCCTGACGGAGTGAGTGGTCTGTAGGCCACTCAAATGCTCTTTTCTGTGCCCCTCCCCCCACATCTGATTGCAGTCCTTGTTCTGAGAATCTCCTGCCTCTATGTTGTATAAACACTGTTCCCCAATTGTCCTTCATGTGTCAATAAGGCAGCTTAGAGCCAGTCACTGAGCAAGAAAGAGAATAGGGCTAGACTTCCTGCCAACCAGGGGAGGAGAAGTCAGAGGAGGAAGTAGGGGATTCAGTCACCAGAAAGGTTAAAGTGAAATCAGAAGAGGAGCTAGAGCAGGAGAGCTAAGAGCTAAAAAGTACAAGTATCTTTGGGATATGTGTTGGGAGGAAGCCAATTAGCTTAGAGGGTTAAGAATTGATTAATAACTGCTCAGTCCTTGTCTTGTGAAGCTTGCTAAAATAATATTTTTATAATAATTGAAAATCTCAATTATTTGTGTAATAGCTGGGTTAAAAGAAAAACTGAGAAACAAACACAGTTTTATAAAAATAGCCTTAATAGGGTCTACACGGGCTGCCTTCAGCCCATGACTGGCCTCACTTCCTCTAGCGGTGACTTCTTCTAGCCCTGGCGGAATGGTCTCCTTTCTCATTTACCTTTCTGCAGCAATTTACATAGGGATGATGGTCCTGTCCAGCCTGCCTTCTCGAATCTTCTGATGTTACTTTAATGCATCTTCTCTGGCTTGTCCTCTGTTGACTCCTTGTCCTTTCTCCCACCCTAAATCCCTCAGAAAGCCCCTCTCCCTTACTCCCCTTTACTGCCCCTGATATTCTCCTTCCATTTCTGGCACGTAAGTGCCACTCCATGTAGACAGTTCCAAATATATATCTCCAGTCAGAGCCCCTCTGCCAGCAGACTACATTAACCCGACATGTCCAGAATGCAATGTTCCATTGTTTGAATCTGGTTCTGCCTTGTATTTTCTGTTTCTGGACCATAGCCTCCACTATCTGGACCCAGAACCAGAGTTACCACTGGCAATCCCTTCTCTCCCCCTAACTTCCTTGATTTTTATTTTTACACCAAATGCTATTATTTTGCCTTTGAATTGTGTGATGATTGGTGTCACTTGTCAACAAGATAGGTTTAGAATCACTAGGAAGCAAGCCTCCAAACACACCTTTCAGAAATTATTGTTTCTTATTTTGGTGAACTGAAGTGGAAAAGACACACCATTTACTAGGCTGGAATCTTGGACTCCATGAAAAAAGAGAAAGTGAGCTCAGTACAAGCATTCATTGGCCCCTCTTCCTGACTGAGGATGCAATGTAATCAGCCACTTCAAGCCTTTATCCAATGACTTTCCTGCCATGTTGGATGATGCCCTAGAACTGTGAACCAAAATAAACCCCTCTCCCTTAAGTTATCTTTGTCAGGGTTTCTTAACCCAGCAAGAAAAGAAACTAATATATCTTCTCTTTCTAAAATACAAATGCATCTCTACTTTCTGGACTGCTGTTGGGACAAAGCATCTGATCCGGTCATTTCCTTTTGCATCTTTCCCCATTCTTAACTTACTTTTTTTGTTTTTTTAAATTTTTTTCTTTATTATTATTATTTCTTACAATTTATTCACTTTGTATCCCAGCTGTAGACTCCTCTGTCATCTCCTCCCAGTACCATCCTCCCTCCCTTTTCCTCCCCTATGTCCCTTCCCTGGTCCATAGATAGGGAGGTCCTCCTCCCTTACTATCTAACCTTAGCCTGTCAGGTCTCATCAGGACTGTCTGGATCCTCTTTCTCTGTATCCTAGTTAG